CCCTTAAAGTCAGGAGACCAGTGACTGCCACAGAGCTTCTTCACAGTGGTGGTGGTGGTTATGTGCTGTGGAGTCGGTTCTGACTCAGTGACCCTGCACAGGGTTTCCGAGGCTGTAAATCTTTACAGGAGCAGAAAGCCTCATCTTTCTTCCACGGAAACGCTGGTAGTTTTGAACTGAGCTTCTGATAAATATTTATTGTGTTGAATAAATATATGAGTCACTGCTAGTTATAACTGTTTTCTCTCCTAATCGGAGTCTGTACTTGAACCCTCAAACTCTGTAAATTTGTATCCTGATAGCTAGACAAGACAGCAATTTCCTGAGGGAAATGTTCGGCAGTGTCCAGCAAGGTGGGAGGAAGTTGTAGAATTTCTTCAAGTCATGTCATCATGAGAAGAAGTGAATGATTCCGGTCATTTTGAGACTTTGCTTTGTCTATCTGCTCCCAAATGGCAGTTTCAAATGTCAGGATCCCTTTCTTTCTTGACAGGCGCCTTTACATCTCATGAGCTCTGTGTTGTTGTTAAGTGCTATTGTGTTGGTTCTAACTCATAACAACCCTGTAAAAAGGCTGTAAATCTGTGAAGGAGCAGCAAGGCTCATCTTTCTCTCATGGAGCATCTGGTGGGCTTGAGTCACCACAGTCAGTTCATAGTCCAGTGCTTATCCTACACCATCACTGTGATCCTGCTTGGGATCTGTTGTTGTTGTTATGTGCTGTGGAGTCAGTCTCAACTCATAGTGACCCTGTACAGGGTTTCCAAGGCTGTAAATCTTTACAGGAGCAGAAAGCCTCATCTTTCTCCCGCGGAGCAGCTGGTAGTTTCGAACTGCTGACCGTGAGATTAGCAGCTCAATTTCTAACCACTAAGCTACCAGAGCTCCTTTGGTATCTGTAGAGAATGTAAATTTAATGCTCTAATATCTGGTGTGGCACTGTGGGTTAATGCACCAGACTGCAAAGGCGTTTGAACTACAAGGTTGGTGGTTCAAGCTCACCAGCTGCTCCATAGGGTCGCTATGGGTCGGACTCGACGGCACTTGACAACAACAACAACAACTATATATATATAATTCTTGAACAGTGTTCTTACCTATAAAATCAAAAAATCCTTTGCATTGTTAAAACTATTTTGTATATTCCTTGCGGAATGGTGGAAAGTTAACAAGTTTTAACTGAAGAAGACCTAGGTTAAACTCTTGTTGTTCTAACTCATAGCAACTCTATGTACAAGAGAACAAAACACTGCATGGTCCTGAGCCATGCGCACAACTGTTAGGTTTGAGCCCACTGTTGTGCTGTTTACTAAATTTTGTAATCTAGGTGAAGGAGCCCTAATAGCACAGTGGGCTTATCATTGGGCTACTAACCAAAACGCTGGCAGATTCAACCCTCCCAGCTGCTCCATGGGTGAAAGCTGAGGCAGGCTGCTTCTGGAAAGGTTTATAGACTTGGAAATCCCTGAGACCTTTCTACTCTGTTCTGTAAGATCACTATGAGTTGAAACCAACTCTAGAGCAGTGGCTTGGATTTGGGGTTTTGTAAACTAGGGGTAGCAAGTACCTTACCTATGGTCTGAGGGTACCAAAAATATTAGTGTAGTGGTTATGAATCGGGCTGCTAACCTCAAGGTTGGCAGTTCGAAACTACCAGCTGTTCCATGGGAGATAGATGAGGCTTTCTGCTCCCATAAAGATTTACAGCCTCGGAAACCCTGTGCAGGGTCGCTAGGAGTCGGAACTGACTCTACGGTACTTAACAACAACAACAACACCTTGTGTGATGATATAGGATAACACTGGATTGCTATCTGAAAGGTTGGTGATTCGAGCCCACAGGTCACCCCTCAGAAACCCTATGCAGGGTCACAATGAGTTGGGACCAATTCAACAACACTTAAGAACAACAATAACAAAGCACATGATAATACTAGCATGAGATAAACATGGGATAATGTTTAGCATTGCTGTTAGGAGTTCTGGTGTGACGCTTTGGGTTCACGCAATGGACTGCAAAGTCAGTTTAAACTGCAAGGTCGGTTGATCAAGCTCACCAGCTGCTTCTCAGAAACCCTATACAGGGTCACTATGGGTCAGAATTGACTTGACTCGATAGCACTTAACAAAAACAATTGCTGTTAAAACCCTAGAAACCTTACCCACTACCATGGAATTCGTTCTGATTCATAGCAACCTTATGTAAGGTTCCTGAGACTGGAAATCCTTACTGGAACAGCCAGCCTCATCTTTCTCTTAAGGAGCTGCTGGTGGGTTTGAGCTACTGACCTGGTAGCTAGCCGCCAATGCCTAACCACAGTGTCAATGCTGTTAATGTTATTTATACAAAGTATATGCCACTTTCTCTTAATGAAGATAAGACGTGTAATGTTCATTCCCCACTGCCATCAAGTTGATTCCGACTCATAATGACCCTACTAAATAGGGTTTCCAAGGCTATAAAGCTTTGTCGCTGTTATATGCCATCGAGTAAGTTCTGACTCATAACAGCCCTGTATAGGGTTTCCATGGAGCAGCTGGTGAGTTTGAACTGTGGACCTTGTGGTTAGCAGTTCAGTACTATACTACAGTAACACACCCAGGAGCAGAAAGCCTAAGCGCATAT